GTCACAAACGTCTGCAATCCTATTTTCGGCCGCACGCCCCGTCGTCCAAGGAAGGGCGCTTTTTTGCTGGGATGATGACATCCGGCGACTGGCGACGCAGCGGTGGCACTGCCGCTGCGTGGCCGCTGTACCGAGATGTGTCGAGGAAAACGAAATGACCTCGAGAGGGGATGAGACATGTAGGAAGGAAAAGTAGGAGAGGCCCATACGTCACTCGTTCTGAAGCCGCGATGAAGCCAGAAGTCGGCCATATTGACTGGGCTAATTCTCCTCTCTTGTTTACATCCGAATGTAAAGCAGAAGGCGCGACTCTCTCTCCGGCTCGAAAAGCACGTGGGCTGCGCAGCGCGTGTGTCTTGACGATGCAAAACTAATGGAACGAGGCTCATCTTCAGCGAAATCATTTCGTCCGACTAATAACAGGGAGTATCGGCTCAGTGACAACGAAGCAACTACAAGAGAACACGAGCTAGATGCACTGACAACGGCGAGTGTTTTCACGTCATTATTCAGCAACTGTACAGACAACACGATCGGCAGTGCGCCTTCTACAGTTGCATTCCGCTACGTGGCCGACACAGCGTCCGGCCACTGTTTCCGTGTTCCGCGTGAAACTCACCGGCGTCAGAATTCTGCGAGCGTGGTAACTATGAGCACGGTGCAAGTGACACTTGAACGCGTTTGCTGTTACGTTCAGATTAGACGCAATGCTGGTGGAGAGTGTACGAAGCGAAACAAAAAAGGTGTTTTAATAAGAACATGTTGTTACTGTACACATCTAACAGAAACCTACGTATGTTCACATGGTTCTCATGGCGTCTTGCTGGGATCAACAGCATGGTTCGTTATCACAAGCAGGAGCACTGCTCAACCTTCACTGACGTGCAAGGCGTTCGCCGTCGTTCAGCTTCGTCATTGTGCCCAACGCAATTTCGCTGAACACTAACTGCTTCATCCGCGTCATCCGCCGCACGACACATGGATATGCACTTGTTCCACGCACTGTTCAAACCCCGTGATGGACAAAGGGATTTGTAAACGTTGCTAAGAGTACAGTAACTGCCAGAAGAACACTGCGTAACCAATAACGCGGTGCAGAGCACGGATATTGTCAGCCACTGCTCAGCACGAGACCTGGGGAGGCATACATGCCGCCGCCAGTCGCGGCCACTTGCTGCTAGACCAGCTCCACTACGCAACACGTAACCATAGCAACGCCGCCGTTGTGCCCAGTGAATTTGGCTGCCCTAATGTCATTTCCGCCACACTTTTCACGCCACGTGCCGGCTGGGCATGCCCTCTCTTAGCTCTCTTACTCCGTGATATGGGACATCTCGAAAGAGTTTGGACTGCATCGAAATCGGTAGTTGACGTGCAGCCAGCAAGAAATGTCGTCTTGGGGTCGCGAGTCTCGCGTAGGTGGCGAGCATGGATTGACCCGCGCAACGTATATATCGCGACGGCTGCAATACCGGGCACCCTCGTCGTGTACAATTCTAATGAGACCTTCAGCGACACCCCGTGAACTCCCCTACGTGAACCAAGAGCTGGCCTGGTCCGTATGGAACTTGTTATTGTGACTTTTTGCAAACTGTTATTTTTTATAACCAGCTTATAACTAATCGTAGTTATGTGCGCTTCGTTGCACTTAGAAATTCAGAAGCGCGAGCATGATCGTTATCTTGTAAATTTTCTCTGTGTCTCCTTCAATTTAATTATGTTGTTATTTTATTTACATTACACGTATTTGTGTTTTGTCTGTACCTATTGTAATGATTTTTGATTATAGTTACATAGCTGTTCTTTCCATCGTGCAAACGTTTGTTGTTGTCTCATAAGTTGATTTTTAATGTCCTTGCCATTGTCCTGGTTCAAACAAATGCTTGTTTGTGTTTAATCAAACGTCCGTGTCTGCTCTATGAGTGTGTCGGTCAGGGTCATACATGACCACACGTGCAAACTCACACGGGTCGACCGACCTGCAAATAAACTTGAGATGTGCCACTTCGAGGCCTTTCAGGCGTCGCAGGTTGAAGCGTAAAGTGGAAGCCTGCGAGTCTGCTGCACGTCGATTGTTGGATCGGTGGAGCCTCACCCAAAGTGTGCGACAACAGTGAACTTCTGTATGACAATATGTATTCATTATTGATTACCAGTGACACATGCCACAACAAACTCATGTTTTAAGTGAACAGTGTGTGTAATACCCTATGAACACTGGACATTTTCGTGTAATTTGAATGAAATAACATTTGCATATAAAGGGATTATGCAGCTGCTACATATAAATTTATCATCTCTTTAAAATCAAATGAATTAGGCAATCGAATGAGTTCGCGAAAGACATTCATTGTCACAGTCCCAAACGCATACCTTCTACTCCAGAGAGAGAAAAGGTGGCATTCGCAGCATTAGAAATAACACCTGCATGCATGCAAACAGGCTAAACTAGTAGCTTTTTAGGACATCTATTATTTTAACTAGAATGAGGTCACAAATGTCTTTACTCTCCATGAGGTGGCACTTCGCTGCCGGCGCTGATATAACAAGCAGACACCTCTAGGCACGTGTATGCGTGTATCTGAAGTAATGACATCAGCTGCAAGAGCGCAATTACGCTGGGCTGAGACGCTTGCTTTCATAAAGCTATGACATTTCCGTTGCAAGCTGTTCACCCGCATGGGCGCATGCGAGACTATGTTTTAAAGTGAACAAATGCAAAATGCTCTGGGTTTTTGTTATGCGTATAATTGCATCGCAAGCTATACCACGTGTGCATCTGAAACTGCGCGTTCTAGAAAACCTGAATGGACTCGAAACGTTCATTTTGCCGTTTTTTTGTCACGCTTGCGCACGGCGTGTTACTTGTGGTCATTTTATCGGCTGTGTTACAGTGTTCTAGAAGGTCTGTGTCTACTGGTTAAGCAGGTCGTCTTGGTTCATGGTGGCCATCTATTCTGCATTATAAAATTTCTATGCGAATTTATTCAGGAAAGTAACTTTCCAAATGTATTTTAAAAAGAATTACTCAAGTAATAAACTGGTCAAGTGGAGGCCCGTCCTGTCTACGTGTTTTCTTCGTTTTTATGGTTGTTATTTTGACGCAAAATTGACTATTCCATTCAGCGTAACTTCCCTTTTTTATTCCTTTACATTTTCCTTCTACTTTTTAAGCCATTTTTTCTGAATGGTTGACATTGATATCATGTACGATCATAATACCATTACTTTTTCTGGCCATGGTGTAGCACCATTATATATTGAAGGGCATTCGTCGCTTCAACTGCCACTTCAATCTAATGACATTAACACTTCGAGTTTTATTATTAGTCGTGGCAGCTTGGGCTAGTTGGTATGGCATGACGATAATTATAGCGCGAGAAACAAACGACGACACAGAGACCTTCGTGTCTTTCTTGTCTCTGTGTCGTCGTTTGTTTGTCGCGCTATAACAATCGTGAATATTCCGCCTGCCCTCTTTACCACATTTTCACTAGGAAGTTTCCGTGAGCTCCGTATACCTTCCTGAAGGAAGTTTCTGCATACTCTGTAAACCTTTCTATATTTCCATATCTTTCCAGTTTTCTGTAAGGAACGATCTGTATATGTGACAAGACATCCGTATCCTTTCATATTGTTTTTAAGGAACTCTCCGTATATTGTACATGATTTCCGTATCCTTCCGTAATTTCCTTAAAAAGATTTCCGTAGATGCCTTGCAAATTCCATAGGCTTCAATAAAAATCTATAATTTTTTCGTAGAATGCATAAGAAAACTGTACAGAGTCCATAATTTTTTTTGATAAGCTTTCATACGAAACTTTTCAGTAGCAATAATTCTAGCTTCACCTGTAAAATAGCTTTACGTGTAAGTATGGCAGGTTTTCAGAACTAAACCTACGCGACGTGTAAACTTTTTTTTACAGTTGCGGGGCAGCACTTATGAATGGTCTACAATTAATTTGTAATGAAATTTTTTGTCTTATCATTGTTCTCCATTTCAGTCAACAGCAGTGTTATTCATTTGGATAAGATATAATGAAATATTCAATTTGTAAATGTATATGAATTTTACTTCTCTTCGAAAAACTTTTTTTTAGATTTTTCGTATTCTGGAGACCAAAATGGGCAAGTTTGAAACAAATAGGCCTGGAATAGCTTTCTTGGGCCCGATGAGCTTTTACCCTCTTTAAGTCGAGGAATTTTACGTCTCTCTACAAAATCTAAATAGGAGCCGACAGATTGAAGCAAGGTAGTGGTATAATCAGGGTTAACAGTGGAAGTACCTCTGACTGGCTGGCAGACATTCCGTTTTGATAGAAAGATCTATCTTTTTCAAAAGCGCCATGTTATCGTTGGCGTGTTAGTTTTAAAGAGGTTAATGTTGACGTCAACTTCTGGTGGTGGCGCGTGTCCCTATTCATAATCGCTGTTCAAAAAGCAAAAAAAAAACTATAAACCAGAAGTGTGCTGTCCTCTCTTCTCCTATAAAGTCAGATGACAGTATTGTTGTTCTCGGAAAATAGACAAGTAAAAAGAAGAAAGAAAAAACTTAAAGTTAGAGCGATGTGCTGTTCAAAACTGTTGGCCACGTCAGACGCGAAGAAACCAAAGAGCTTACAGCTTTGGAGCCGGCAGATGGTCGCTGCGTTCAGCCACCACAAAGGGTTGCCGACGATAGCGCTGACGTCTGTTCACGAACACCTACGAATGGGACGCACAACAAGGAATCACAACAAGGAACAAGGTGCTCGGGAACAGACTTCACCTTTACCTTCGGCAACCCTTTGTGGTGGCTGAACGCAGCGACCATCTGCCGGCTCCGAAGCGGTAAGCTCCATGGTTTCTTCGCGTCTGACGCGTCCACCACTTTTGAACAGCACTCCTCTTCAACTTTGAGTTTTTCTTTTTACTTTTTACTTTTTCTACTCTCCGAGAACAATTTCGAATCACTACTACTGATTTGAAGGGAAGTGAGAACAGCAGTCTTTCGCTTTATAGTTTTTTCGTTTCAGACGGTGATTCTCAACACAGACACGGGCCACCACCAGGAGTTTACTTCACCACTAACCCCTTTAAAACTAACACGCCAAGGTTGACATGGCACTTTTGAAAAAGGTAGGTCCTCTTATCTAAACGTCGGCCAGCCAGTCGGAGGCATTTCCCCTGTTAAACCTGCATATCCCAGTATCTCGCTATACAGTCACTTAACGCCCCCATGGTCTATACTCACTACCACGTCCTAGCATTCGATAACTAATACATTCCGCCCATGCCTTATCTATAATTTGCATTGGCGTTATTTGCCTGTAATCTTTTTTTAGATTTCTCAAAGATTTCGCAACGTGGGTGTCTAATTGAAGTTACGCAGTCTTTCCCAGTCACGCAATAAGGTTATCAAGAAATTGAAGAGTTTCGCAGTAGTTTTTCTGCGCCTCTTATATGTACGTTCATTGAGCGAAACTATGTTCTGTTGTGTTCATGCGCAGGTTTTCAAGAATTTACAAGCTGACTGTGAAGATAACAATGGGCTCGTGGTGGGCCCGAAGATAAGCGACACGCGCGCGAAAAAGCCCACTGCGTTCACCGCGCTGGAGTCCAGAAAGTCCAAGGCACCCCTAGCCCCTTCAAAACCGGAAACCCTCCGCCACAAGGCTGCACTACGTTCCTCTAAGCCTGAAGTGCCTGCACGAAAACCTGACATCATTGTTAACAAAAAAGAAGTGGCCGACCCATCAAACCAGCCGAATGCTGGCCTTCGTCAGCCAACAAAGATCGCCAAGGCCAGCCGGTCGGCCTTCGCATTATCGAAGAGCAAGTGATTGAACATATAGCCTGACCTGACCAAACGCTGCATCAATAATGTTTAATACGGACTGATACAAAAAAGTTCATGACTGGACATAACCAGTGAACAGGTGTAGGATCACACTGGTTACCTCTGTTTTTATATCCGTGGTTTGTCTTATTACATTACTACGAACTTCATTTTTTATTTATTATAGTGTGTTTCTCCACCACTCCATTCTTTACAATTACTTGTGTTTTATTCATTAACATTGTGAACTTAGGTTCTATTTCAATCTTTTTCGGAATCCCAGGCATTAGCGTGGAGACCATGTTGCACGAAAATTTTCTTTGTGAAAAAATACGTGTTTAGAAAGAGTCACTTGTGTAAATAAAAAGATTAGAGTGCAGGTATCTTGAATAAGTGATATGGAAAGTATAAACAAAAATCTTGTTTTTGTGTGGTAATAAATATGCTGAATAAAAGAAGCATGCCAAAAATGATTGGGGGATTTCAATTTATGTTAGGCTTATATTATTCACAGTATTCACTTTCTCCATTGAACCACACAGACCTTTCGTTTCTCTACAAATGTTTGCAACGGTGGATTTAAAGCAAAATTCATGAAAAGTCGCGTTAATATTTCCAGTGCTGCCATCTATTTATGCTATTATTTGAAGCCCACATGCGTCTACCCACGATCTGAAGACTTCACACTTTGATACGCCAACGGTAGTGGCACAGTCGCTTGTGTTGGTGAACGGGTCGCCAGTATGTTGTATATGCCAACAGCTGTCTATGCTGGTGCAGCACGCAACGTTGAAATTCTGATGCACAGTGCGGGTTTAGTGAGAGCTTAACAAAATAGCGCCAGAAAGTGCAGCTTGGCGGATCTTACGCAGCATATGACTTATTGCAGCTCAGCTCACATTACGTAAACTGTACTAAGAGAACTCGTTCGCAGCTTCAAGGATGAATATTAAGATATATGGTGTATATAAAATGTAGGTTCTTTCCAATATTATAGAAAATGATTCTCATCACTCGGCGCCCGAGACGCATCACCAGAAGTGGTATAGGTAATTGAGAAAAGAAATGTACACCGCTATTCCAATAGCGGCGATTGATTTACTGTTCATTCAAAGATGAAGCAGAAGCGCTGGAGATATTCTAGTATGCTGAAAAAAACTTGTACGTACAGACTGGACAAAAGTTATATAAGTATGGACACTAATGTTACAAAAAAAAAAGAAAAACACTTTGCAATTGACCTGTCTTTTGTAAGGCAACCCTACAAAATTGGGCACAGCCGATGGTGCCTAACATTTCAAGCATGGTTCAGAACATGTGGCAGAACTTCAGGGCCTCATCTTATTCCCTCGCTGCTCCGCCCTTACACAACTATCAGCAAATCGTCACCTCTTTGTCTTCTGATAAGGCAGTACACAAGGTCGATCAAAAACTTGCCACAAGGACATCACCTTCGCGCACGTGAAGCGCAATTGCCCCTAACCCCAAATAACGCAACAACAAAAATGTAAATAAAACCTAACTAAAGAATGTCAGAGATGCTTAGGCAAGCTCCGCGGCGAACAATTATTTAGACTTAGAGCTACACGTACTGGGTTTAGACGCCATAGGGCGGGTTCCCCGTAACACGTAAACTTCTTGACGACGGGGCAACAATTCACCTGTCCCCTGTGCGCTGCAAGAGGAACCACTTGCTCAACACCCGTGTGTACACTTACGACTTCATTTTTAAGAATTAACACGGGAACAGTCGAATACATGCCACTGCGACAATAGGCACCAAATCGAAGACTGGACGTCCAATCATCGCGACTTCAGGCACGTTCTCCCTTGTCGCCAGCCTGCCCACTACCAAGCGCTACCGGAACTAAGCCGGACCGGAACAAAAGGCTGTGGGTGACCTACGACTTTTTGTAATGCACAGTGCGTGGAAACGGCTTGAGTAAATAAAACCACTCGGCTTGAGTAAACCCAGCACGTGGCTGGGCGTCAGCTGAACTAAAGTGAGGACTCAGCGCACCGCTCTGGTTCTCGGAAGAGGCCCATTGATGCGCCGACTGCAAGTGCCCGGCGGCAATCAGGGGTCCATCACAACGACGTTTATAATCCCACCCCTTTTGCTGTCCACGTGGCCGTTGGTTTTTTTTCTGAGTTAACTGGAGCTTGAAACACTCGGTCGTCTCTGGCGCTACAGAACAACGCGGGGTACCGTGCTGGCGCTGTACTGTCTGCGTTCACGGCAAACCCGGTCAGACAGGCTTCAACCGAGTGCAACTAAAGTAATGCTGTCTGCAATAGGCTGACGCGCCTTCCCAAGCTTACGACACTAAGTCAATAGAAGCATACTAAAACTGCCGCGCAACACGCAACCTGCGCAGCCGCATGAACTTGGTGCGGTTCTACAGTGTTTTTGGCACAAGGGAAGTTTGATGGTCAAAGAGCGTGAGGACGTAGTAACGGGTATAAACAACAGTGGCGCTAAGTGGCTGTGTACACAAAATTCCTCCAGCTGAAAGAGGGCAAAAGCTCCTGAGACTAAAGATTACTATTTCAGGCCAATTAGTTTCAAACACCACTATTTTCTTATTCAGCGTACAAAAAAATCTACAAAATGTTTTCGGAAGAGTAGTGAACTACATATAAGTCTACAAATTACATTTGGTTGATTATTTTTTTCAAATGAAATACAGAGCTGTTGACTGCAATCTAGAACACAGATAAGCCAAAAAGTCATTGGAGACCCTTCATTAGTGCTGTCATACAACTGCAAAAAGTAAAGTTTACACTCCACGACGCACCAGCTCACCTACCGACCGATATAATCTACAGCTCAAAGTACAGGCGAAAAAATTTCTGACCTCTAATAATGAGCCAGCGATTTCGTGAACGATGTGGACTTAAAAGCATAAAAATTGAAGTTGATCGACGTTTACAAAAAAGATCGAAAGCAAGGCAGGAAGAAAAACTTCATCGCAACAAAGAGACAGACGCTTCTTTCGCTACTCCAAAAAAACGGAGTACCCAATGAATGCCGAACGACGTGCGTCACGCTGCCTAACTCGAAGTTAGTATTATTAGGCGCACGCACCAAGCACTTTCGCAGTGGATAGCAGTGGCTCCTAGGCGCTTTTCGTTGAGCTTTCTTGTGAAGTCCGACAATGTTTTTGTGTACATCCTCCAGCAAAGGAAAGTGTTGCAGGCAGCTCCTAGTTTGTCTGGACTTGTCGGAAGAGATACTGCAATATACAATAGTTTTCACGGCTTCGTATGCTAGTGTGCTTCCCCCATCCGTCTCGACTTCTGTCGTTGAAGAGTTCGTAGCCATCTGTGCACATATTACTACCTACTGTACGCCTGTCCTTAAATATATACGGATGCTACTAAGTCCCCCACTTCTGTGTCATGTGCAGCCGTTCGTTATTCTCTATCAGATGTCAGAGTTCTGTACACTAAGACAACTATCTTCAGATCAGAAGCCTATGCAATAGTTGCGGCAGTGAAATAAAGTAAACAACTGAAACTACAGCAGGAAATACAATACACTAATCTGCTGAGTGTGGTAAAATCTATAAAACAATAAAATAACATACAAATTCACATCCTATCTTACTATACACCATATTATGCACAATTTGCAGGCTCAGACACCATGTCGTAGTGTGCTTGGTCCCAGGGTAACAACGATCTATGGAAACCTGTTGGCAGATCGGCTAGTTGCATACGCCCAGGAAATCACTGACAATGCAGCCATACCTGCTCCTGCATTTGACCTCAAACCCCTCTTACACGAGAATTCGGGGATTGTTAGCAGTGGTTATCAGACAGGCAAACACAAAATAAGCCTCATCTAATCAAACCACCTCACGCAAATGAGCCGCTAGTATCAAGGTCACGCTGCCCAGAAGTTTCACGTACCAGATTCAGAATACAATATAGACACAGTACAACCTCAAACTACTTGTCCCGAGGTGGTCCACCTTTGTGTGAGAAATGTGGTGAACCACTTGCCGTCATTAGCATTTTCATTCAGTGCAGTGTATTGGATGCTATCGGACAAAAAAAAAAACACTTCCTATCACAATACCAAGAGCACATACCATTTCTTCGATTGATGTTGTTAGGTATAGAACTTCTTTTTAAACATGAGACATTGCGTTTTTGAAAGAAGTTCACAGCTCTTAATTTAATAACTGGCAACCAGTAGCATGAACTCCTAATGGAGCAGGCTGTTGATGCGGAAGCGTTATTTCATAAAGCACCGGCCTCCCTTCCTTTGCTCTGAAAGGCTTTGAGGAGGAACGCATGCTATTTTCACGTTTCTCACTGGAATATATCATACCAATGAAGGACAACACGCATCGCCGTGATACTTCTTTAGTCTAATATTATAATAATTGTTTCGGCTTTCACGTCTCAAAACCTTCATAGGATTTTTAGTCGAAACTCAACCTTTACGTGTCTATACTGCACGTGGCTTTAGTCTTCTATACAGCCATAATGCACAGTAATTGCAACCACTGGTCGACGTCGACACCACATAAGAAACTTGGCCCTCTTTGGCACACCTATGGCTTTTGCGCCACAAGCTTCCTGGTCATCATCATCGAAAATTTATTCCAACCTAAGTCTTGCTTTGCGCCGTAAATTCGAACGGCAGTCGCGCGACCACACCATTTTCATGAACAAAAGTACTTTAGCAGGATTACCCCCACACACTTACCCTTCAGTCCAAATGTTTTTAGCAGCAGCGTTTCCATTCAAACTTTGAGCTGGAAGTGTCGCTCGGAATAACCCGATTTGCATAGCAGTTCACCTCGTGACATTACTCACATATAACACAAAATATAACATAAAGTGATCACTTTCTTTGCAGGGTGCCCGTATAAAATCTTCTGGCGAAAAGTGTCAGCATCGTGCCATTGTTCTCTGGTAGAATACTCGACTGTCACAGAGAGGACGAGGGTTTCAAATTCTATTCCGTCCTAATTACTTTTAAAGCGATAGCATTAAAGATATTGTTTCGCCGTAATTTTGCTGTCGGTGTAGCGAGACAGAGAAATCGGTGTAGCGATACCTTTGGCTGTGAGCGAGACCAAGAAATCGACAACGATGCAAATAAAAAAGAAATTGATAACCCTGGAGCAGAGTGGGGACCGAACCAGGGTTATTTGGGTTTTGCGTGGTGAGTGAACCCGGGCCGTTTGCGTGGCAAGTAATGTTCTACCAGAAGGCTACACTTCTGCTTGTGAAGACAAGGAAAAAAAAACTTCCTCTGCTTCGAAAAGCAGTGAAAGTAGTTTTTGTTCTTCACAAACACACACGCC